CCCCCCCCAGCCCCTGGGTGTCACCGCTGACTCAGGTGAGACACCAGGTAGACAAGGCCCACCAGCAGCAGCCCTCGGACACCGAGCATCATGAGCAGGAAGAGGAGCAGGATGGAGGTCACCGGCTCCACAACATGGCCACCCAGGTGCCACTGCGGGAAGCCCATGTTCACCAGCTGCCGGTTGAGGTCATGGAAGGGAGACTGAGTCGCTCCCAGCCTGGCCCCTGCCTGCTGCTGGAGGGGGCCAGGACCGCCCAAGAGAGCTCCACGGCCCCTGTTGAAGAAACCCTGCAAGATGGACAGAGAGAGAAAAATTAACACAGTGAAGGCTTGGCTGGCATTCAGGTGCCAGCCAGAGGGCACCCCACTGGACAGGTCCTGCCTCCCCACCCCCAGAGAGAAAAGCTGTACTGGGAAGGGTAGGTGGTTTCCAACAGCCCCGCAGGGTCACCCTGTCCTTTCTCAGCAATCCCTGTGGATGCCACCCACAGGAACCTCAACAAGCCCAGAGGGGACAGAATATGCCGCGTACCCAGGGAGAAAGTCCAGCGAAGTCGCCCGGAGGAGGGAGAGCTGAGGTGGCAGAGCTGGGCAATACCTATCCCCTCCTGCGTGTACCCATGCCTTTACCCTGCAGACAGGGCCAGGCCGGAGAAGTAATCCCAGCAGCAGAAACTGCTGGGAGCCGAAGGGTACAGAAAACAGGGGAGGCAACTGCCCCCTTACCTGGCGAGGTGTGCTACTATGCTGTGTGGAGGTGGTCCTTGCTCGGGGGTCATCGTCCTGCACAATCTCCCCATTGGCCAAAATCCGGACCATCCTCCGACAAGTTCCAGCTCCCTGCTGGGCTGCACCTGCAGTGACGGCCAAGGTGGGGGGCTGCCAAGAGCCACATGGTCCAGATGCCCGCCCAATAGGCCCTGACATTTAGTGATCTGTGACCAGGATCCTGAGGGTCCACAGCGCTGTCCACACCCCCACCCCGGTCTCAAGAAGCCCAAAGGAAGCCATTTACCAGGGACAAGGAGCTATTTGCTGGAAGCAGGACGAACTGCAGGGCAGGCTGCTCACGCTGGGAACCCACCCTGATCAGGCGCAGGGTCTGATTAATAAGAAGTTAAGAAGTTAGTCAAGGCAAGTGTGTGCTAGGCAAAAGTCTTAGCAAAACAAAAGCGTTTCAGATCTTGGTCAGTGAACTTGACATTGAGTCCACTGGGATCCTGGGAGATGGGACTTGTATGATTAACCACCACCAGATACAACAGGCTGTGGCTCAGGCACTGCTGACCGGCCACCAGGGTGCATCTCATCCAAGCTTCACGCCACTCCTCGGAGGCAGGTATTAGCCAGCTACTGGACAGGTGGGGAGTAAGGCACAGCGGTCCCTCACTTTGATCATGCACCCAGAACCCCCTGTATAGGCCTTCTGTGGGTGTCAAACAGGGCACCCTGGGTACCAGAGTCCTTAGCTTGGTGATACCAACAACCCAAGTTCTCTTGCATTCAATGGGCACTGTGTGTGTGTGTGTGTGTGTACCCCCAGGAAACGCAGGCCCCACTTCTGAGTGACTTCAGCTCTACTGTCTGGCAGCAAAACAAGCCCTGATGGTGTTGTTGGGTACGCATTGGGCCACTAAGCCTAAGGTGGTGGTTCAAACCCACCAGCCACTCTGTGGGGAAAAGAGGAGGCAGGCTGCTCCTGTACAGATTTATCTCAGAAACCCTATACGGGGCCTGCCAGGAGACCACCCAGGGGGCCACTCACTCACCAGTGCTGGCTGAGAGAGGCCCATGTCTCAAGCAGAGGGCAACCCCCTCACCTGTCCCTCATTTCTCAGGTCACACAGGTTGGTTTACTGCTAACAGAAGGCAGGGCCTTCCCCAGAGGGAACGCCCTTGCTGCTATGACTTCTGGGATAGCTCCACCCCAGAGAGCCCGGGGTTCTCAGACCTATCCTAAAGTCACATCACAGCCCTTAATTAAGGATGGGGTATTGGGGGAGGGGGTGCCTTCCCTGCCTTTTCCAAGTGTGCGTCCAGCACGCTTTTCTCAGATTGGCCAGTTTCCACCTACAAAGCTCTGGCATACTCCCCTCCTGGGGTTCTGAGTCCCTGAGTTCTTGGCCAGGCCTGGGGCTTTAGGGTGGAGGGCCTCCCTTTTTGAAGCCCGCTGCCCTAAAAGGGGGG